TTTTTTTTTATTACCGAATCCACCTCGGGAAAATACGGGGGGAATTACTGGTGGGTATGACACTTGAAAGTCTTTTCTGTTTGTATCAGAGCTCCTCTGCTGCCCTCTGCAGGTCATTCATGATAGGTAATTAGGATTTAATCAGCATTTCCTTGATCATTTCAGTGAAGAACCATGAAAGTGAAAGACCATGCTATCAAGTCCACCAGCTAAACCAACACCATGCCAGCATGAGCACTAAAAAAGCTGGGACAACTTGTTGGTCTAGCTAGTCTTTTCAGATGGTTTTTATGGGTGTACCTGTAGACATCTATTCTTTCACATTATGATAATGTTGATGTTTCACATATTATTCACCCAAGAAATGCCTTTTGTGCATAAGCTGAACCTTTTGTATTGTATGTACTATTGCTTCTAGTAGGCTACTTGTCTTCAGGCTGGTTCTTAACCACACATATTCAGTTTGCAGAGGTGTAACCAATGACATTATATGTTGTTTTTTTATTAACTATAAGGAGTGTTGCTGTGGTGAAACTCAGCACCAGGATGCTGACGGTGGAATTCAAAATCAGTGACAAAATAAGAATTCTGGATGCGTAGAGGAGGGTATTATTGAGCTGGTAAAGCTTATATATATGAGAAGTGAAAAGGATTCAGGTAGAAAGTGGTTTCTCATTATCTTGTTCTTCGGAGACCCTCATGTAATGTTAATGGACATGCGAAAAGTGACACTTTCACCTTCTGCTGCTGCATTTCAGTACTCCAACATCAAATATTCTCCCTTTTTATGGCCTCCTAATTCCCTCCTCTCTTCAGGATGTTTGATGTGGGAGGTCAGAGGTCAGAGAGGAAGAAATGGATCCATTGCTTTGAGGGAGTAACAGCCATCATCTTCTGTGTGGCTCTGAGCGCTTATGACCTGGTGCTGGCAGAAGATGAGGAGATGGTGAGTTTCAGATACAGCTTGGAAAGGTTTAGTTTTAAAATAAAATCCTTATCCTGTAATCAGAGCCACAGGAGAAGACTAAGTATTTTCGCTTTCGCAACGAAACACACAGCGTCTTCACGGCATGGCGGTGGCTGCAGCAACAATACTACAGCGAGAATTAAAGTTACGCCTTCTTTCTTTGCATGAACATTTGGGCGGCGTTATGCAAATCTTCCCACATAGTGACGTAGACATGTGGGGGCGTGTTAGAACGAGCCGTTTTAGGTAGGTGTGGCTGACTCTTAACTTTTATAAAGAATATCTCTTTGGATTTGAGACTTTAGTCTTTGCAACTTTACAGATCATCTTTATGCACCAAGAGCTTGTAACACTCCAAAGAGAAAGGAAAAATTGAAATCACATGATATGACCCCTTTAAGATTGGGGAAGTAATTCATTATTTAATGTTGAGCAATGCACAAACTATTTAAAATGTCGACAGCTACACTTGTTTAGGGCTTTTGGCCAAAATCACAGAAAAAACGAAGTATTGTTTACAAATTCTCTTCTGTATTCATGTTGCATTTTATGCAATTAATATTGGCATTGATATACTGATAGTATTAGTACCAATTTAAGTGTAGTACATTGCTCTTAAAAAGAGTAAAAGGCTCTTTTACGTAAGCTGTTAGATCATGTGGGATATTAAAAAAAAATCTAACACTGTTATTTTCTGAAAGAAATGAGCCATTTTGATTTAGGTTGGTGTTTGTGTTGTCAACCGTCACAACTCTAATGCATAACTAATACTCGTAAGATCCTTGTTTAAACTAGTCTACGTGCTCTCCATAGCGCAAACGCAAGCTGACAGCACCCTCTAGTGTCGAGTTACCGTGCAGCATCTTCAGCTTTCAATAAGTCACACTCCTCTTTTTTTTCCAGAACCGCATGCATGAAAGCATGAAACTGTTCGACTCCATCTGCAACAACAAGTGGTTCACCGAGACCTCCATCATCCTCTTCCTCAACAAGAAGGATCTGTTTGAGGAGAAGATCACACACAGCCCTCTCACCATCTGCTTCCCTGAGTATTCAGGTCTTTGACTTCACCATTGCTTAAATGATTTTTTGTGATGATCACTATTATCCCACAAATGCGCCGATGAGGCTTCAGTAGAACACAGAACATTCATTTGACTTCTTTTGGCATGCGTAGTACGACTAAAACATAATGATAATTATAAGGTTATTTTGCTGAAAATGTTTTTTTTTAAAGGTTTAAGTAAGTAAAACTGCATGACAAGATTTTCTGCGTGGTTTTTATACAGGAGCTAATAAATATGATGAGGCTGCCAGTTACATCCAGACCAAGTTTGAGGAGCTCAACAAGAAAAAAGACACCAAGGAAATCTACACCCACTTTACCTGTGCGACTGACACTAAGAACGTGCAGTTTGTGTTTGACGCCGTCACTGACGTCATCATCAAAAACAACCTAAAGGACTGCGGGCTTTTTTAATGAAGGTGGCCAGGAGAATGATGAGGTTAATAAACACACATTAAACACACCTGTGTTCAGATACTTTCATATGCATGAGCATAGTTGCTCAAAAACAGCATCAAATAAAGGCTTGTTCAAACATTTGAGGAACACTTACACTAGCGTAAAAGTTTGGGGTTGGTAATAGTTTTTTTTAATGTTTTTGAAAGAAATATCTTCTGCTCACCAAGGCTGCATCTATTTGATCAGTAAAAACAGTAATATTGTAAAATATTATTTCAATTTAAAATAACCGTTTTCTATTTGAATATATTTTAAAATGCAATTTTTTCCTGTGATGCAAAGCTGAATTTTCAGCATCATTACTCTGATATGCTGATTTTGTGCTCAAGAAACATTTATTTTTATCAGGGTTGAAATGCTGCTTCATATTTTTGTGGATTTCAGGGTTCTTTGATGAATATGTTCAAAAGTACAGCATTGTTTTGTTATATAATCATAAAAATATTTTAATTGACGCTTTTGTGTAGTTTTATGCATCCATGCTTAGTAAAAATATTAAAACTTGGTGACCGTAACCTTTTAAAATGAACAATTACCAAACCAAATTTCATTTAAAGCTAGCACAAGCACACTTCACAAACAAAACATTTAACATATAGTAAGTTTGTTAGGTTTGAAATGAACAGAACGTGCTCATAATTGTGAAAAACTGGTATTAACCTTCTTGATTCGTTGTGATTATTCCTCAGGAAGGTGTAAACTGTTTGATGGAGCTGGTTCTACACGACATGCTAGACTGCCTTCAGCTACCTACCTATAAGAATCATAATGTTTTAGTTTTTTTATGTGACGACCTGAAAAAGACTTGTGAACAAGGAAAAGAGAAACTTCACCGAATTCCAGCACACCACCCTTCTTTCCTGAACCTGATTTTAAATTGGTTTTCAATGTGTAAATATTTAATTTTGCAGTTCTTTTCTGCCAGAAAACTTGTGGAGAGTCAGGATTATATGTTTTGTTTTTGACAGTTTACCAATGAGGTGGGTGAGGACTTCTTTTATGGATGTGCAAAAAGCTTCTTTTGTAAAGGTAATGTGAGCACAGAACGAAAACGAGACATCTCTTTTGTAACAGTGACTCTTCATCCCAGGCTCGAGCTGTATATTGTTGCATGACGGATCATATGAAATTGCTCGGCGTGACATTCCCTCACATGTCTTCACTCTCTCTACTAGCTTGACTTTGACACCATCCAGAACTGACTAACGTGTAACAGATTTATATATCTGCCCTCACGTTTCTCCTTCCTGTTGCTGGCCCATCCCTTCTTTAGCGCGATGTCTGTAGATCATAGGGCTGTTCTTATTCACGCTATCAAATGAAAAGTGTAAAAGTGTTGAGCACATTTTAAGAGCTAAATGAAACTTAGACCACAGTCTAAATATCGAAATACCATAAAAGATTTCGTTGGAAATAAGTGCAAAAAGCTTCTTTTGTAAAGGTAATGTGAGCACAGAAAGAAAACGAGACCTTTTGTAACAGTGACTCTTCATCCCAGGCTCGAGCTGTATATTGTTGCATGACGGATCATATGAAATTGCTCGGCGTGACATTCCCTCACATGTCTTCACTCTCTCTACTAGCTTGACTTTGACACCATCCAGAACTGACTAACGTGTAACATATTTATATATCTGCCCTCACGTTTCTCCTTCCTGTTGCTGGCCCATCCCATCTTTAGCGCGATGTCTGTAGATCATAGGGCTGTTCTTATTCACGCTATCAAATGAAAAGTGTAAAAGTGTTGAGCACATTTTAAGAGCTAAATGAAACTTAGACCACAGTCTAAATATCGAAATACCATAAAAGATTTCGTTGGAAATAAAAGTTATGTAAGATAGACCTGTGCTCCTTGTCTTCTTTTTTTTTTTTTGTCTCTTGATGCAGCAAATTAGTTTTTGCTGAACTTGATTTTCATGCCAGGTAATGTTTTTTTCTTTTTTCTTCTCCATGCTATTGTACTTCATATTCATAATATTTCTGCAGTGTCATTTATTGACCACATGATGGCGCTAGAGGAACATTTTGTGTAAAAAATGAACTCAAAATGACTGGCAATCCAGCTGTGTAAACTAGTTGCTAAGTCTTATTAGTTACATTAAAAAAACCCCAACAAACTCAAACTACACTCGGGCAAATATTAGCCTAGATAATATTATTAAAAATGATATAGTGATGGTAATATCAGGTTACTGAGTAAATTCCATATTTGAATCCCATAGGACCCTAAAGTACTTAAAATAATACCATGATAATTTGTACGTCAAATAAAATAAAATACATTACCATGGTGCTTTTTTTGTTAGTGTTTTCATTTCATTTGATTCTGATACCATACTTGTTTGTTATAAAATACCATAATTGGACACATTTTATATTTATAATTTGTTTTAATTTAATTTTATACTGTTATAATTATCTTGTTAATTTAGATTTTGTTATAAATTAACAAGTCCATCTCTAGTCCATTACACTTGCAGTTCTCTCAGGTGCGAAGCGCTTGTTCTTCGCTCACGTTTCACTTCTCGCTCTATGATTGGCTGGCAGTCGGACGGATGTCGCTGATTGGTTGAGATGGTCCTGACTGGAAACTGACGGCGCGATCAAAAGCGCTCAGCGCTCAGGCCAAACGCGCATTGACTGACGGCACGAGCAGGAGACGCGTCGCTGCAGGAGCGTTTGTGTTGTTCTGGACTACTTTATAACTCTTCGATATTTTTTTGTGAACAGTTGGTGAGTTTCTCAAACGCCCGTAGGTTGCATATACAAGCAGCTGTGCATTATTTAAATAAAATATTTATGCCACATCTGTCTTTTTTTTTTTTCAGGGGTAACGGGAAACAATATAAGGTGGACTGACTCAGCAAACCAAAAATAAACATGGTAAGTGTTTTACTTGGCTTGTTTTGTTCTTGTTCATCTAGAGACGATTTTATTGTCTGAAAAGATGATATTTGTAACGGGTTGCGTCTTTAGTCTAAGTCATGCAATTTAGCAAAGAACACACATATTGAATAAACTTAAGTATATACGGAATATAAAATTAGATATGCTAGTTAGTCGAGATTTTTCTATTTTATTAACAGTAACTTGGGTTGGCAAAATGTCATTAGCATGTTGTTTTGAGTTATGGACTAGTAACACAAATGGTCAATTCACTTCTGTCTCTGAGAGGACAATTTGCAGCAACTCTTGCAAAAATGTAACCATAGTGTGGTTTTTGGGACTAAAATATAATACAATAATAAAAAAAAAGATTCTGAAAGTAGATCCCATGTTAAGTTGATATGATTTTACAGTAATAATAACAATGTCAGTTCCACTAAAAGGTCAGTTTAGAGTCTCAAAAGCTGTATCTGGCATCTTGAATTCATTTGTTCATATGCCGCATTAATATTCCTATAGTTTTAACTTAAAATATTAATATGACACATGCACTGGCACATTATGTGCCTCCCTCAGGGATTATAAACCATTTTAAACTGTAATCTGGGTTTTGAAATTAAATGTACATTTTCAGCAATGATGGAGGTTAACCACTACCCAACTCTATGCATTTTTCATGGCCTCTGGCAACCGCTGGCTTTTCAAACACACACACACACACACACACACAGGTTTGTTTTTGTGAAAAGTGGGGACATCCCATAGGCGTAATGGTTTTTATACTGTACAGACCGTATATTCTATTGCCCTACACCAACCCTACCCCTAAACCTACACCTTACAGCAAACTTTATGCTATTTCAGATTTTCAATACACTCCATTCTGTGTGATTTATAAGCGTTTTGAAAAGTGGGGACATGGGGTAATGTCCTGAAAAGTCACCTTCTCCTTGTAATACCTATGTCATACCTTTGTCATTATACAAATGTATGTCCTCATTTGTCACAAAAACACACACACACACTTGCAGCTTAAAGCCAAATGGCTAAGTTCTCACAGCTGTGATAACATCATGGAGTGGTCACTGGTCCTATAGCTCTGCTTCAACCCGTCTGTACACATACATGGGTGTTTTTTCTGCTTTTCAAAAGCATTCCCAAAAAATTCCAAATGCTTTATGGCTACAGCAGAGCTGGAAGTGAAAGTAAAGTAAATCACTTGAGAGAAGCTGGATGTTATCGCTGGAAAACAGGGACTTTCTGGTTGTTAAGAGGTGTGGAACTTGGATCGTCTTTTGATATTGCCAAGCCTGGTCAAGAGGAATTGTTTTTTTTTTTCTTTTCTTTTTTCCCTCTCTCATAGAATTAAGGACGGTGCAAGACATTCTGGAGTGTTATTATAGTTAACTCTTCCTAAAACCACTGTAAATAAATTATTGTACTTAAAAAAAAAAATGTTAACTGAAATAAAATAAAAAATATTTTTTTTCAGCTTGTTGCCAAAGCAACTTCTCATTTTCATTTAGTTTAACTTGATGTACTAAAATAACTAAAAGTAAAATAAAAAAAAATAATACAAGCTTTATAGACATTCATTTAAAAAAATTAAAATGACAAACAACATTTATTAAAACTTTAAAATGAAAAATTAAAACAGAAAATACAAAAATAAACTATTTAAAAAAAAAGTAATAGTATCTAAATTATACTAAAGTAACACTGGTTTAAAGTAGAAATGTACATCTGTTTTTTTTATGTTTATTTTAGATTTATGCAATTTATATAATATAATATAATTTCTGCATAATTTTAATATATTTTTTTATTATTTTATATTTTATTTATAATGTTTTTAAATCAACGCAATGGCACTAGCCTACAGTTCTGATCAATATCTAACATCTGATGCAATTCCCAATTATAAGTGCATTACTGTAAATATGAGTTTTGTTTGTACTGAACCCTCCCAAATAGACTGATGTACACAATTAGTCTGATCCCAGTTCATTTGCTGTGAACTACAGCCAACACAGTGTAGCATTGTTCCAAAAAATGACATCATTTCCTTTTTGACCACAACAATCCGTGCATTAATCATGAACTTGAGGTGGGAAAAGTGTGGCCTCTCTTTCTTCCAGAAGCAGTGCAGGAAGGGACTCTTGTTTCCCGTTCCCACAATCTGTGCGGATGTATCTGCATGCATCATGCTCTGACTCTTCTCCCCCGAGACTCAGCCAAATGGATTGTGTGTTTGTTTCTCTCCCACTCATCATGTTGTTGATTAATGCTGCTGGATTAAACCGTGGAAAACTCCAGACTGCTTTCATCTGAGGGGAAAATCAGTCAACTTTATGGCTTGTTTGATTGGCCTGGTCCATGGATTGTTTTGCCATTTGTTTTGTCTCGCAATGGATTTACAGTTTTATTTAGAACAATTTTGAGGAACAAGCTCATCTTTTCCGCACTGTGATGGTACACTGAAACAGTGCTGGGTTATTATTGATAACTAAAACCATAAAACATTTCATTGTGAAATAAACATCTTAAAAAAAAAAAAAAAAAGGAAAAGAAAAAACGCAACAAATTTACTAAAACTAAAATGAAAATGAAAGCTTAAAATATAAAAATGTAATTTAAAATATTGATAAACTTTAAAATTAAAATTAAAACAGAAAATAAAATCAATTTCAAAAATTGTAAACGCACAACAAAAATACCAAAACTAAAATTTAAATGGAAAAAAAAAATTATTCAAAATATTAATATTACAAAAAAATAAATGGTACAGCGATGAAAAATGCATCTACATCTAGTGCCCTTATAGATGATGTAGACTGAAGTTTGTATAGTCAAGGCACTAACTTTTTTTTTTTTCCTTTCTTTCCGCAGCTGTGCGTTCGCAGTTCAGGCGACTGTTTCCGGGACCAGATGCGCTACATGATGAGGTCTCTGCAGGATCTGAAGCAGATACGTGAACCCGCCGACCAATCAAAGTGCTCATATGCGACTCGAGCATGTCAAAAAAGGGCACAACAGCGGGAGCAGCTCAGCCGCCTGCGGAATTCTGACGTCAGTGACTGTTGAGGCGTACGAGGAATGTACGCGTTTCATCGTCTGCGTGTGTCCGCACCAACCGAATCCGACCCAAATCCACATCAGACGCATGCCTGGAGCGCTGGACGTCGTTTGAGGCCAGCGACCCAACGGACTGGACCACGTCTTTGTTAACCCGAGGGCGTAACAGGCAACCATTGGTTCTTGGGGACAACAGTTTTGCAGATCTTATTAAGAACTGGATGGATCTTCCAGAATGCCCAGATTCTGCAGAACTCAAGCCGAACGCCAGCCGCAAAATAGCCAAGGACTTTCTGGTCAACATGCGGCGGAAATTAGCGGGCATGTCAAAGGGAGTTGAGGAGAGAAAGGCTTGCACTAAACGCATGTCTTGTCCCGTGGGATTTCAAGCCCCCAAACCGTTCTTTCACCAGTCCCACACAAGTTTGCACCAATTGGGACCAGACTTTTACCAGTTCAGCGCTGTCATGACGACAGGGAGTCGACAGCCTATTATATGCAATGACATCATTAGATACATCTGATGTGTTTATGAAAACAGACTGGAGTTTATTTCTGAAAACATCTAATATTGATCTATGTATTAATAAATATTGTAATAAATGTTTTTATATAAAAGAAACTCTTCTGCGTTTTTCTAAAAGCCAACGTGTCATGTTCCAAAACATTTGATGACAGTGAGGATTTGACAATATGAAAGTGCCATTTAAAGCATTAATAAGCTGTCAGGTTTTATACCATATAGTTTTCACCTTAGAAATATCTAGTTTAAATCAAAAATCTCAAAATCTGCTTTTATAAATCGGTTGCAACTGAAATACAAGACATCAATTTTCAATACATTTATTAAAGAATCAGAATAAGTCTTACAGTTCATAATCCCCCAATTATTTTCAATGCTAACCCAACATTCAATTTGTTTAGCTCTCATAAGTTTGACGTTCTCCTACATTCAATTGCAGTCAAATGACTCGAGCCTTTTCATGTGTATACCAATTTAAATTTCTTAGAGTTGTCCGATAGTTCATAGTTTCAACACGATACCGAATAGCTCATATACTGTGCAAATATTATCCTTCATTTCTAAGAGGCAGCAGCTGAGTGACTAAAATATGGAATGCACTCTTTAAAATAAGACTTTACTGATAATGATATGAGATGTAGACAGATACAGTAGTTTTTTTATATTAAGAATTTTACTGCAGCATTGAAGGCTTATAACCAGAATACAATAGCAAGAAAAAGAGCCAGCTGTCAAGTCTTTTTGTGAAAGACCCACTGCTGTAATGTGATTAGGACTGAACGCACACAGATGCATATAAAGGTGATTACATTAATTAACTGAAGCAGACGCAGCTCATTGGGGTCTCTGGCTCTGCTCTGGAAGTGCTTTCATTCATGGTAATGGTGAGGTGAGGGGTGGGTGGTCATGACTGCATAACAAAGGGATGAGGGCGGGAATTAATAAACCACAGGGGTCATATTGATACAGGAGACACGTTTAAAAGAAACAACAGAAAGATATTTCACTTACAGACTAAAATAATGAGATTCTTTACAAAAAACTTTCCAGTTCAAGCTTTGCACTGCAAAATATCACAATCTTAATATTTGTCTTGTTTTCTTGGTAGCAAGATACATTTACTTGAGACGTTTTCAATGGTGGTACCACGTTAAAATGTTTCATTTATTAACATTAGTTAACATGAACTAAGAATTAAAAATACTTGGTAACACTTTATTTAAAGGTGTCCTTGATACACGTTACATGTACTTACTATTATAAAAACAATTAATTATGCATAATTACATGCAAGTAACCCTAAGCCAAACCCTAACCATATAGTAAGTACATGTAATTAATTAATATTACTCAGTACTTAAATGTATAATTACACTGTAACAAGGACACCTTAAAATAAAATGTAACCAAATACTTCTATTAATTTAAGATTAATAAATGTAAATATATTTACAGGTTTTTAAATAATTTCTTTATAAAGTATAAATTTGAAAAGTTGTAAATAAAATTATTGAAGTACATTTTTCTACTTACAAATTATGTTTAATTCAATGTGTTACTTGCGGTTTCTTTGTAATTATATGTGAAATTTACTAGCAATTTCTGATTGAATTTTTTTACAGTGTACTTAATACATTAACTAATGTTAACAAACAAGACCTTTTTGTTAAGTGTTACTAGAATGTTATACAATATTATAGTTTTTGTTTTGTTTTACAGGCAATATTTTTATTTGTTTTAAGAATAAACCTTATTAAATTTACCATGTTGATTATTTTCAACAGTCATTTTTGCTGTGTACACATTCACTTGACTGTTCAGCATAAACCTAGAATCAAAGTTAATAGAGAGAGGTTAATAGTTGACATCTGGCTTCCAGCATCACCTGAGCAGTATCTGATGGGCGGGACGGTCTGGCAGTCCTCATCCTCTTCAAATGAGTGAACGATCTCCAACATCTGCTGGTGATCTGGAATCTCACGCTTGGTTGCGGTGCGTACCAAATCAGTTATGCTGCACAAACAATAAGTTTATCAATCAATAAAAATACCTCTTCTCTTTTTTGACTAAATCAAAGAAGAACCAAACCTTTATAACCAGCATTATCTTCTGTATAAGACACGATTACATAAGAATAGTTGCTGTGAATTAATGTAGAGAGTGTTTATTTATGTAAGGGTGTGGTATGGACTCGCTCATAATTATAGAGGAACAGGAAGGTCACTGTTATGCCTACGTAACATCGGCTATGCTGAGAATGAAGTACTAGATTACTGTACAGTAACTATAGTGCATACAATTTACAAAAAAAAAAGGATATGAAACATACTATAAAAAAAATTCATTTGAAATATATACAAATGCACCTTTACATTCAATGTTTAATTTAGAAAGTGTTGTGCAATTAAGGAAATAAGTTTTGCATTTTATTTAATTTTGTGTGTGAAAATGTCTTTCTGCAGCCTAATCAAATAATGAGATAAAAAGGAGGTGTTAAATATTAGTTTATATTCTGATAATTATGTCGATATGGTACAAGATATGGTATCCTATGTAAATCAATGTGATAAACGAATAGATTACATTACTAACTACAACTTTTGTCATGTAATTTTGAATTAGTAACGGACTACAATTTGTAAGTAATCTACCCAGCTCTGTTCATTCGTCAGTTTAGGAATAGAAGGTCAAGTCGAGTGCACTACAATGTGATCCCAGTAAACAATGCAGTGTGCTCTGGTTGTATACTGCACATTTTGTCAAATGTAGTACAGTAAATCATGCATGTATTCATTGCGAACATTTGCATACTGTGCACTTTATACAGTGCTAGTTAAAAAGTTCGAAATAATTAAGATTATGTTTTTTGGAAAAAGTGTTTTATGCTCACCGAGGCTGCATTTATTTGATCAAAAATACAATAAAAACAGTAAAATATTATTACAAGTATAACTTTTGTGTTGTGCCAAACTTTGGACCGTTTTCATATGCTTCTACATGGTGCCAAACGCTTCACAGAAATGTATACGAAGAAATGACAGGAAGGTGAAGCACTTGACACTTCGCTCTCTTAATTTGTCCTCTAAGACCAATTTTAATTTCAACAGGAAGAACCCAGGAATAACCTTGAGGTCTATCAGCAGACTGATGTTAGATGCACACATGCATGCAGAGGGGAGTGAGGGGTTAATGAAGGCGTGTGGCTTCAAATGACCGTTATGCTGGAAAGCCTTAGGAAAATCCCAAAATAAACACTAAGGGACAAAAGTCTCAAAATCTCTGTCTAGACAGATCTAATGACATATCAGAGAATTCAGGTTAATATTATGCAAGTAAGCATTCAACATAACATACAAAAGATTAATGCTGTGTGGAATATTTATCTTAAAAACAGCTGTATATCAGCATACACACCTTAGCTTCAGGCGATCAGTATGAGCCGAGAGATCACTGTACAGTATAGCAGTACCATAATATAAGCCTGTGATGCTCAACTTATGGTTTTCCTGAAATGAGAAAGAAGTATGAATTTAATTAATTCAACACATGTTGTGCCCGTGTGTGTTTTCATCTAGACTGTATGCATTTTTAGTTAACCAATTTCCTACTTGCACTACTGTTCAAAAGTTTGGTATCAGTAAGATTTTTTTATTTTATTTAAGAAGGCAATACTTTTATTCAGCAAGGATGCATTAAAATAGTCAAGAAAAGAATCTTGAAAAGAATGCAACATGGTTTCCACAAAAGTACTACAAATGTTAAATGAATACATGTTTTACTTGAGCAGAAAATCTGCATATTAGGCTGGTTTCTGAAGGATCATGTGACACTAAAGACTGGAGAAATGATGCTAAAAAAATTCAGCTTTGCATCACAGGAATAAATTACATTTGAATGTATATTGAAATAGAAAAGAAGCTATTTTAAATTGCAATAATATTTCACAATATTACTGTATTTTTAATAAAAATGAATGCAGACTTGTTAAGCATAAGAGACTTCTTTCAAAAACATTACAAAATCTTATCGACCCCAAACTTTTGAATGCTAGTGCATGCATTTCTGTGGCACTGAAAAATCAGTTCTGGTTCCAAAGAAAAGACAAAGAAGATTTAGAAAAAACTGGTGTGAGACTGAGTGTGAATGGTATCTGATGTCTTTTAAGTGTCTGATGCTGACAGCGTGTGTGCTTAACCTGAATCTGTTTCAGCAGTTCCTCCAAAGTCATTTCCTTTTGACCCTCACGCCGGCCCTGCACCAGGAAGTCGTCCCAGAGAGAGTACCGCCGCCCCGACAGACACGACACACTGGTTCTAAAACACATGCTTAACAAACATTCACACTCTCAGATGAGGGTACATACGCTAGTTCTCCCATGCATACTACCTCCAGTTCACTAAGTTGACTGAGTCTGCATGAACTACATGGATGTGGCATTAACAGCTGACACATTTGCAGCTCATGTCTTGGACCT